TCCTGCCCAAAAGGAGGGGGAAGAAAGAAAGAAAAGACTTATTGCAGGGCTTTCTCATCTTAGAGGTCTCTGGTTCTGTGGACAGATTCTACAGAATGTTCTTAAGGGGATTAGGAATATTCTTTAAATCATGTCTAGGGGGTTGTGTTTTATATTTATATTATGCAGCCCCCCCACTCCCCTTTTTGCTTGCTCTCAAAACACCTTTGCATCTGTCCTTGATGTTTATACAGTAACTCTGTCACAGTGGTTAAGAGCTTGGGAAAACAAAAGCTGGTCCACCTTTACTACCCGTGTGACTGGGGCATGTTCCCCTGACTTCCCTGTTCTTCCAGCTTCCTCATCTGCAAATGGAATGGAAACAGTACTTACCTCAAAGGCCATTCTGAGGGTAAACGTGCCGATGCACCAGCGCAGGGCCTGGCTCAGAGTAAAACCTCATGTAATTATTCCCCGTGAACGGGAAGGAAAGCCGAGACCAGGGAGGTTAAGTGACTTGCTTAAGGTCATGTACAGACTTAGAGGAAAAGCCGGAAGTGGAAGCCTTGGCTCAAGGGGGTCTTAGGCCAGGGTTTTCTCCCTGGAATTCATATTGGTCCCCAGGAAAAAAAATGTTAACATCTGCAGGCAGTTCTAGCTGAGTTGAACCTTTTGGCAGCTGCTTTTGACTTTTGTAGGACTTGGTCAGGGCTTCCTCAGCACACAGGACCCGTAATCCTAGGCAGTAAGAGGCCCCCGGGGAGGGGCACCTGTGGGGCTCTTCGGTTTGTGAGAGGGAGAGAGGTTGGGGGCGGTGTGCTTTCAGTGTGCCCCACCTTTGCTTGGTGCTGGTCAGATCCTGCACCCACCCTTCCCTCTCACCCCCACCACGGGCCCTCACAAAGACCATACCTGGAGTGAGGGGGTGGGGGTGGGGTTAGGACAGGCTTGCAGGTGGCGGGTGGTGGTGGTGGGGGCACTCTAAAACTCACTATCCTAGCGCAAAGCTGGGCCCTCACTCTGGTGGCCCAGATTTTTTGGATAAAGTGACCTGACTTTTGCCCTATGGGGCAGGAACAACAGATGCCTCTTCGAGCTGCCCTAGTCACCCTGTCACCTGAGGATTGTGGCCACTGGTCTTAGATACACAGTGGTGCCCCTGCTCCTGGCAAGTTAGACTTAAGGACTACCCCGCGGGTTTTTCCAGGAAATGGACTGCGCTTAGAATGTTGCTGCAGGCAGCACGGCACAGTGAGGTCCACTGTCAGATAGGCTGGGCAGCCTCTTTGTGTGTGGGTACATGGGTGGGCGTGTGCTTGAGAAATTATTCAGCCTCTTCAACTCTCAGTTCCTATATCTGTAAAAAGGGAACAAAAATACCTGCCTCGCAGATTTACAGTGTGAAATAAATAAAATGCCCCGGGTGAGCTGCTTGGCATGTGCCTGGCCCGTGGGAGCTATTTTCATCATCCTGGCCGTGGTTATTAAGCATATCAGTGGGCGCCACCAG